TAAGGCACTATATCAAATGCAAGGATTATTACTATAATTTGCCTTCCTCCTTGTGGAACCTTTCTACCATTCATAGGCTTGTGACATCCTCTCGACATGAAAGGTGCTTTACAAATGTAAATTTGTTGTGGTTGTATTTTATGAGGCTATGGATGGCTTGAATAGGGGGTAAAATTGGATCTGAAGTTTGGCTCAGCAACTCTACCAATTTAAGAAATTTCTTCAGTCTGCAAATTTTTCATATCATGCCAGGGGTCTTTAACAAATCACCAAGCCTGAAACTGCCAAAATTCTTTGTTATGGTGGAGATTTTAAAAAGTTCACTGCAAAGGCTTAAACTTTCTAAGCTCTGCTAAACAAAAGACTTAGGAACTAGGATTGATGGGCTTTATTCATCACTTTTAGTATTTGAGCTCTGCATTTGAAAGTCTCTTCAGTATTGCCCATTGAAAAGAAACTGCTGAGTTCATCCATTCCTCTATCAATTTAACTATTATTCCCAAGATTATTAGTACTTTATTTCCTTTCATGTTATTTATTACTTAGAAGCTTAACTTTTATCGTACACTTTAATTCACTTATAGTGAGGGCTGAACTTATTTTTCTCCTGTGTAACCACTAACTAATAACCATTATTATTAATAATAATAAGCTTTGCATTTGATATAGCACTTTTCATATCAGGAAACTTCAGAGGATATACTGTAAAGTGTAGTAACTCTGTATTTTGTAGATAAACACAGCAGCCGATTTGTACACAACAGTGTCCCACAAATAGCCATGAAGTGAATGACCAGTTTTATTTGGAGGATTGTTGGTTAGGACATCAGGAGAAACTCCCTTTTTGAATCGTGCCATGGGATCTTTTAAAGTTCTCCTGAACAAGTGGACAATATATTAGTTTAATCTCTCATCTGAAGGAAAGCACACCTAACAATGCAGCACAGCTCCAGGTCTATATTGGAGAGTCTGCCTTGACAAGGAATTCAAAGTCCTGACTTGGGGCTTGAACCAACAGACTTTTGACTCATAGTCCTGCCAACTGAGCCAGGCTGATACAAGCTACTGTATCTTGGAGCGGAGATGCAATTTGACGTAATGTGATCAGTGATCAGTTGGAAATTGTTTCCTGGCTGTGTGTCAAGCAATATTGAGCCACAGCACTAAAGTATGACCTAGTTGTGTGATGGAAATAATATGATTTTCAGGATTAGTAATGTAGATTTGGTTCTATCCTTATCCAGCCTTTGCTAATTATACTATATTTATTCAAGTGTACTTATCAAGTATGTATTTATTCATGTTGTTTATTTCTGCATGAAATTGATGAACAAAATAAAAGAACTGCGTCTAGGAACATTAAATTTTATCTTAGGCACAGGCCTGGGACTCAAGTAACAAGCCTGGTAAGCTAGTAACACGTTTGGGATCCATGCATCGGGCCTGGGATCCATGTAATAGCCTAGGCTTAAATCCAAATTAAAGAAGGGAAGATCAGTGTCTCAACCACAGTGACTTCCACCCCCTGTAGTTTCTTAGTGGAGCAAAATTCATTGACTATGTCCTTAATGTCCATATCCTTGTTTTTAATTCTGGTGGGTATTTAATAACAATAACAATAATCCTTGCCTATGATATAGAACCTAATCCCGTCTTCGGGACTTCTAAAGTGCTTCACATAATGTACTGTAAAGTACTGTAAATTGTATATTTTGTTGGCGAAACTATTAAACTATATCCTGTAGTGTAGTGGTTGGAGTACTCACCTCGCAAGCGAGAGGATCTGAGCGGGTCAGGGCGAAATGTTAGGTAAGTTTTCTTACTCCACACACATACATGCCTCTGTTTACTAGCAGTAAGTAGGAACCCGGTTTTAGTCGATTGGTGGATCGCTTTACACGGGTAATAATCCCTCCAAAATAATAATACAATAATAATGTGGTCACTCAATCCACGACTGTTACTGTTTGTGGGACACTGCTGTGCGCAATTGGCTGCTTTGTTTCGCCCACAAAATCCACAGTCACTCCACTTTACAGTATATTCTTTAAAGTATATACCGTTTTGAGACTCCTCGAAGACATGATAAGGCATTATATCAAATGCAAGGATTATCATTATTATTATTATTATTATTATTATTATTATTATGTATGTGCTGTTGAGGAAAGTCAGAAAGTCAACACTACTCTGAAAGTCAACATTGCTCTGGATTCATCTTTTAGGAGGTGTGGCTGTTACTTCTTATGGACCTGAACAGTTTTGAACCAATGGAATAAGCATATTAATAAAATTCTGCAACGTTGAGCATTTACAAAGTGCCACAATAAATTACAAACTTTAAAGAGATGTGTGTTTTTCCATTGATGACAGATTGATCGATAATGATTGGATTGTAGCTTAGCTGAGATAACCTCCATGGTTGAAAAGCCTGCTTACATTCACTGCCAAAGCTCACACATGAAGAGTGGCTAATTCGGCCAGGTGCTGGAGTGCTGCTGGCACCTTGTAGAATTATGTTGCAGCATTGAGTTTAAGGTGTAACGCGGAGGAAAATCAGTAAAAGTAAAACAGAACACAAGCATTAAACTGAAAAACAAAACCACATCATTATACCATTATACTCAGTTGGTAGCACTCTCACTCTGAGTCAGAGGGCTGTGGGCTCAAGTCCCATATAAAGACTTAGAACTCATAGTCCAGGCTGTGAATCCAATACAGTGACAGGGGAGGGCTGCATTGTCAAAGGGGCCGTCCTTCATGTAATACTTTAAACCAAGGTTTTTTTTGTATTTCCACAAAATGCGATTCCCTTCAGAGCCAAGTAGAATTTTCCACAAAAACAAGATCAGGGAGAGTGGAGTGGCCCAGTAAGGTGGAGCCTGGAGGCTTTGCATATTGAGTTGGATTGTGAACATGATGTGCTGCTCACTGGTTATCCTATCCTGAGGTTAGCTCTCAGGTGTATTGCAGTAGAGCAGTGCCAAGTGGAGCAACAGTTCTCTTTCACAGAGATTTAGTTTATGATATCTGGATACATTGGGTCAAACACCAATGGTTCTTCTTGCTATTCATGAGTCTATTCATGAGACTCAGATCTAATAACATAGTGGGATTTCACAGGCAGTTTGCTGTGGAGTTACTGTGAGTCAGCTGTGAGAAGCTACAACAACAACTTATATTTATATAGGGCCCTTCATGCCGGATGGCATCTGGGTTACCAGCAGAATTTACCATTAGCGATTTTGAATGTTGCTGTTAGTGATGGAAATATGAACACTGACAATATCAAATAATACTAATAATTAGCATTAGAAATAAAGCTGTTTGATTTCATGTATAAGGTTGATCTTTATCAAGCAGTTTTAAGTCACAGGGAATAAAACTTTTTTTGCGCATTGAATATTTTGATCTGCTCACTGGTGAACTAAATTGCGGCTCATATGTGCAGCTTCCACCGCTGTTAGCAGCCTATGGTTCCCAGGGGAACTGCTGTCTTACTGCTAGGTCTAACAAGACTTTATTTTCTCTTCACTTACTACCAATTTCGGAATTGCTGTTTGAAAGATTCCACTTAACAACATTTCAAAGATTCCACTTAACAACAACAACAACAAGATTACATTTATATAGCGCCTTTCACATTGGGAGGACGTCCCAAGGCGCTGAAAATTTGGCTCAACAGCAGGACTTAGAGGAGACTAATCACTGGGAGCTGGAATTCTACCCACTTGGCTTCTGTCAACCCTGCAAGCCATGGTCCTAATGGGTATGGTGTTCCTAGCTGGGCAAGCAGCAGGAAGCTTGCCAGTGTTCACACTGGCCAGACCAACAGGTTTAACTAATTAAACGTCAGTAGTAACCCAATGTTCATTCCATGGTCCCCACCCACACCTTGGCATTTCCCAACCCTTGCTCAGATTTTCCAGGATTAGTAAGCGGGATGCACCCCTCTGGGGAGAGAGTGTGCACAATTCCAGAGGCCTAAAATTCCACTTTAACCTTAGCCTGTAAGACCATTTTGTTGTAAAATTTAAGATCGTGCAGAATTCTTAAATTTAGCCTTAAAATGGAAGTCGGTTCTTTCAAGAACTGGGGAAAAACAGCTTCCAAATTAAAAATGAATATAAACATTTTCCACAATTCTGCACTTTCATAAATATTCCAACAAGAATAATAACTTGCATTTCCATAGCGCCCTTTACCCAGGTTGACATTGAGTGCTTAAGGTAGAATGATCTTACAGGTTAAGGCTAGTGGACTTTTGTGCCTTTGGTGTCTGTCCTGAAATTGCCCTTCACATACCTGAACTTGTGCCCTCTAATTAGGTGGAGAACAGGAGCCTAGCGTTGTCTTTGGCCTCCAGGATGATTTTGGAGATTTAGCAGAGATGAGGGCACAAGGTGTAGTATAACCAGCTTTGGTAATGGAACATGACGCTGGATTTGAGCTACATGTATTCAGCAGCTTAGACCATAGACTTTAGTGAGAGTAGTCTCATTTCCCTCTCACTTTGCTTAATGTCTATCTCCCTTTTATAGCTGAAAAAGGGGAAATCTTCCAACACGACAATTAAATAATAATAATAATCCTTACATTTGATATCTCTCATTTCATGTCAGGAGGACAATTCAATGTGCTTGAAAGGATATGCTGTACAGTGCAGTCACTGTATCTTACAAGCAAACTAACACTTCCCAAGGCGGCCAACTGGAACACGGAAGGGCAATTTAACTGTCACTCCACACACACTCAAACTGCTGATTCACTCTTACTTGTTCAGCAGATCTTAGCTTTAACCTTTTAAGACAAATGTTAAAAGTTTGACAACCTTTCCAAACTCCAGATTCACTTCTCCAACTCTCACCAGTCTGCTTAATGCACTCTGCTTCAGTCTCTCTGTGCTCAATTTCTCTCGTTAAGGGTTGTTCCCTGACATCTATAGAAAATGTTACACATTATATCCCAATGTAATGTTTCCAAATGTTACAACATTGCAGGACCCTAGCCTATTGTCAGTGGATTGACAACCTCCAGGAGACTCAGAAGATGCTCTCTGTCTCAGGCCCATTCAGCAGCTTCGTGAAGTGGATACTCTGTCACCTAACAAGAGGGATTGTCAAACGGGAAATGTATGGTCAAGGCATTGGTCGCTTCTCAAAGGACGAAATATACATGTTAATGGAAAAGGATATGCGATCCCTCTCGGTCATTTTAGGTGAGATGAAAGGGTGTTTGAATGCCAAGGACTGCATGTATACTGTTTGTGTGTTAGGCTGGCTCAATTGGTAGCACTCTCTCCTGAGTCAGAAGGTTTTGGGTTCAAATTCCACATCGGGACATGAACTCACAAGCTGACAATCCAATGCAATGCTAGGGTGTATTGTATTGTTGGAGGTGCCATCCTTTTGATGAGGTATTAAACCAAAGTCCTGTCTGCCTGTCCAGGTGGATGCTAAAACTCTCTTCTCTTTTCAGGTTGTGCCGTGGGATCTTTAAAGTCTATCTGAACAAGCAGGTGGGATCTTAGTTTAATGTCTCATCCAAAGAGGCGGCACTTCTGACAATGCAGTGATCTCCCAGTATTGCATTGGAGTGTCAGCCTAGACTGCGAGGTCATAGTTCCAACTTGGGGGTTGGACGACAAACTTCTGAGTCACAGTGCTACCAACTGAGCCAAGTTTAGCTAAGCATCTAAATGTGAAACCAAGGTGGAGTGAATTAAAATGGTCTGAGAAGTTCCTTTGCATGGATTAAATGACAGGGGATTTTGTTATTTCTTTTTATTATGTTTCCTTATGTTCTAGTAGCTAAGGAGATAGAATACCTGTATTGACCTCTATATTGGGACCAGGCAGGTGGGATGTAACAATCTTTTCTGGTCCTTTATATTCCTAAATAATAAATTATTTCCACTAGGTGGTGAATCAATAGGAACAAAATTTAAGATGGTCACAAAAAAGCAATTAAGGGAAAGTTGTAATTTCTTTACACAGAAGATGCTTGGAATGTGGAATGGTCCATCAATTATTTTAAAAGGAGTTTTAAATAGATGTTTGAAAAAGAGGAATATTAAAAGGTGTGGGGAGGGAGCATTGGAGCTGGATTAGATCAGGTGGCTGTTGTGGAGAAAAGCACCATATGGTCCGAATGGGCTGTTTCTGTTCGATAACGTTCTGTGATTGAATGGCTGTAGGTACAAGGAGCATTACTGATTTCAGTCAAACCAATAATAGGAAGGTGAAAGGCAATAGTGAAAGGCTTTCCTATATTAAAGGCATGAACATCAGAAAGGGAGTCAACTAGTGCTGCTCACATACAACTCCCATTGCTCTTTTATAAGTGTGACATGGATAGAGAACGATGCTCAAAGTCTCCCGGAGCTTCTCAGCCAGGGAGTTGCAAATAGCACTGGAAATGTTAAAGATGAAGTGGAGAAAAATAACTTGATCTGACCTGATGTTTGCAGGTGATAAGAAATACATAATGGGCCCAAGACCTTCCACAGTGGATGCAGCTGTGTTCGGACACTTGGCTCAGGCAATGTGGACTCTTCCAGGAACTCTGCCGGAGAGACTGATCAAAGGTAAGATGTGGTCAACAACAAAGAACAACAAATTCCATATGCATATAGGATGCAATAAATGCAAATTGTTGTGGGTTCTTGTGAGTTTTGATGTTATAATAATCACATTGATTCTGATGAGGAACAATGTAATTTCAGATGATACTTATTGACTGGGTTTGGGTGAATCAATCCCGCCCCCATTCCCCCGACAGCCCCTAGCTCCAACACAGTGATTGGGTTTCAAGCTGCTGCCGGCCATCATCTTTGTTTTCACTTTGTGGCCTTTTATGGCCTTGTGGTAATTTATTCCCAATGGAGCTGAGCTCAAAACCAGATGGTAATCATTGACTGAAATGACAATGTTTCTTAACAAATTCAATGTTGCTATTCGATTTTTAAAGCTGCTCTTTTCTGAAATGTAGAGTATGCATTTGCAGTGTTTAAATATTGCTGTCATTATTTAATTATAAAATACGTTATTTTATTATAACATGCATTATTTCATTTTAACGCATACATTATTAAATAATGATTGTTTCATTCAAACACACAACTTAGATGACAAAAAAAACATAAACTGGGCCTTTGTTTCTGTGTTGCAAACATCCTTCTTTCCCCCAATAGAAGTTTATTCCAAGTGTTTTTAATTAAATCAACTACAAGTTTAAAAATAAAATTAAATGGTAAATAATATAATCAAATATTAAAATATAATATTAAAAGAAGGAGATTTGACGTGAAGTACTCCTGTGTGCAAATTGGCTGCTGCGTACAAATTACACAGTAACTCTGCATACATTAAATGCTGTGAAGCGGTTTGACTGGTCCTCTCAATGTGAAAGGCATCATATCAAATGCAAGGATTATTATTACATCAAGATATTCCCTGTAATTTATTACTGCATTCAGGAGTTTATGCTGCAGCAGCAGTTTTGAGGACCTCAGCTCCTGGGAGTAATGCGAATGAAATTTTTTAATCTCTTGCATGACTCCTGTGGAATGAAATCTACTGGGAGCTTTGTGTTTATAAGCCTGCAATTTTCAATCAGTCTTGTCTTTAAATAATATGTACATTTATAGAGAATGGTTCCTTTTGAATAAGTTTGATTGGCAGTAAATGTACCACCCATTGAAAATCTGACCCCCAAACTTTTATTCACTCAGATATTTTCTGTTAAAAACTATTTGCTGTGAACTCCTCTAATGACACAGTGTCTTTATTTAGCCGGTAAATAGCTCTGCCACACAGACTGTTTAGATGTGGGTTCAATCCATGGTCTGTGCTGTACGGACTGATTTCAGACAGGGTGGCAAGAGGTATGGTAGCGCCCTGCATGAGGGGCGCTATATAAATGCAAGTTGTTGTTATTGTTGGTACAACTATCTTTTGTGGCCCTAAGATATGGAGGGGAAATCAGCTAAGGTTCTGCCCCTGATCCCTATTCAGCAAAGTTTACTGAGAAGCGCACGTGTGTGGACACCGAATGAGGAGGGGATCAAGCTTGGTTGTGATACTTTCCTTGGCTCAATAGCTGATAGCTGATAATCACTGTCAGGGCTCACAGGAATAACGGCCATTTGGACAACGGAACTTCTGGTGCCAGGCACTCACGGGACTGAACACCAACAGATGAGAAAATGAGTCAAATGCCTCCAGGAGGAGGAAAGGATAAAGTTGTTGAGAAAAAATATAGATGCATAATTTATAAAGTATAATTATTTCAATCAAGAAGAAAGATTTTAAAGTGGTGTAACTGAACAGCTATAAACCTGTTTTATAGCTTAAATGTGTGTGCATTCCCATTGACACAAAGCACAAGAGAGCAATGAAATAGCACCCTCTCCAGGTAGGGTGAGAATGGTTTATATGTTGCTACCTTTTATTTTCACTATAAGATTATCACAATCAGAATCTCGTGCCCCACCAAGTGAACTAGGTCTTTTTTGTTTGCTAACTTTTCTCCTCTTCTGAAACCACTGACTGCAGTGAGATTCCACCCATATCTGAGTTTAGACAGTGAGTGAGACACACTGTCCAACAATATGTGAGTCTATCATCCATCACCTCCTTTGCACACGCCACCAACCTGCCTCCATCCTCACTTCCAACGCCAAGTAGGAAGAGGTCCTAGAATTCTTCATGTCAAAGATTGAAAATATCTGCTTGGCTGCATCCTGATCGCCCATGTCCCTTCCCGCACCCCCCAAACTGTCTAAACCACCCCCTCCTTCCGCCACGGTCCCCACCACTGCCCCCTTCCTAAACTCGTTTGCCCCACCCAGTTGCTGGTCACCCAACTCCCACTCCTATCTCCCCTGCTGACTGACAGTCAATCAGTCGCTCTCTTCTGGTTCTGTTCCTCACCCCCTTAAAACCACTGTCATCATTCCCTCCTCAAAAAACCCACCCATTACCTCTCCAACCTCACAAATTACTGTCCCATTTCCAACCGGTCTTACCTTGATGAAGCTCTGGAACGCATTGTTGCTAACCAGCTTTTCTCACACCTCTCCCTCCACTCGTTCCTCGAGCCCCTCCAGTCTGGTTTCTGCCCTGCTCATAGCGCAGAGACAGCACTTGTCAAGGCCACAAATGACATCTCTTTCTATGACCAGGACTCCCTCTGTCTCCTCGTCCTCCTGGACCTCTCCACCGCATTCAACACAGTCGACCACGCCATTCTCATCCACCTAAGTGGGACCGCACTAGACTCCCTATCTCTCTGATCTGCTTAGCCCCCCAACGCTGCCTCCACTTGACTGGCTCCGGCGTTCTGCATGCCCTCCGTTCCACCATCGGTGGCCGTACTGTCAGCCACTACGAAACTCTGGAACACTCTTCCTCTATCCCTCCATCTTGCCCCTTCCCTCACCATCTTCAGGTCGCACCTAAAGACATTTCTGTTTGACCGTGCCTAAAGTCATCTCCCCCGGCTAGCCGTCGTGCTCTGCCACTGTCAAGCGCTCTGGGACGCCACCCTGCATGAAGCGCACTATGTAAATGCAAGTTTTGTTGTTGAGTCTTAACAGTGAGTGTAGCAAGTTGCCAGATTATATGGGGCACAATATACATACAGACTCAGACCCAAAGCCCACAAATATACAGTCAATTCACTTTACAGCATATTCTGTGAAGCGCTTTGAGATGCCTAGAAGATGTGAAAAGCGCTATATCAAATGCAAGGTTTATTATTATGATTAAAGCACTGTAGAGTGCAGTGCTGATAACACAGCCTCTTATATTCACAGTAATGGAAACAATGACCTCCAGTGGTGAAGTTTGGTCAGGTAATCAGAATCTGGTTTATGAGGACTCGGTCTGGCTGCACGGTGGTGTTGTGAGGCAGGGCAGTTTTAGAAAATATGTCAGTTTAAAGAAATACATAAACGTAAATCTATTACATTGTGTACATATTACATTATTTCATGTTTTAGAGATGATATTCATCACATTTTCTATGCAACAGTGCATAGTCTTGAAAGGATCACTCAATTCACTTTACAGCATATTTTGTGAAGCGCTTTGAGATGTCTAGAAGACGTGAAAAGCGCTATATCAAATGCAATTTATTATTATTAAAGCACTGTAGAGTGCAGTGCTGATAACACAAGTAATTCTTGTTAACATAATTTGATCATCATTGTCCTCTTCTTATTGCAATAAATGGATGGATATAAAATGGCATTTTTAAATGTTCCTGTAGAAAGGAGTTTGGAACATGTACAGATGTGATCCTATTACTGCATCGTGAGTTCATAACTCGCTAGCCAGTTGTAGTGCTGTTGTTGCTCTAGCCGAGTTCATCCAGCTCAGCACAAACTAGTAATTGAATACTGTATATAATTGTCTGGCTTAATGCTACAACAGAATGTATTGTTACCCACTCGATGCTCAGAGAAAGCTCATGCCATTCTTCTCTATGTGAAATTTGTTATTAAAGGCAATGTAAGGTTCCTTACTACCATGCATGCACATCAAGCTGTTCCAGAGAACCTTTATCAACTATTCAAATGGTTTCTGTAATCTGTTTGGAATTGGGACGTGACCGTATGTATATTCTTCCTGCTTGTTTCAGGTGAGCTACTTAATCTTGCCTTGTACTGTGAAAGGATCAAGAGGAAGTTCTGGCCAGAGTGGAATGAAGAGAGTGAAGACGCTTCATATGAAAATGAGGATGAATCCAGTGAAGACAGTCTGACTCCCACACCACTCCAAGATTTCAGCTATTATTCCCACACAGAAACATTTGATGAAGAAATGACAGAGAACAGTGTTTCCTATTCACAGACTCCAGACACCGATTACACGGGCCACTCGCTCTTTGACTCAGATGTGGATATGGAAGACTACACAGATAATGAGCAAGGCAAATGAAATGAACTGAAGAAAGTTTTATGTTGGGGGGAGGGTAAGCATATGTATGATCTGCACCTTACACAGTAAACTGATTTAATGTGGAGATTACTAGAGATCACTCAATACAGGTATTGTTATTTGGACCAATGTGATGATGTTGAGCAGTGTTGAGTTAAGACAAATATTCCTTTATGCCAATAAAGCCTATTCTTCTTTAATGTATAGCACTTGATTGAGGTATACAGTAAAGTAAATGTAATAGGACATTAATTTATAATGGTCACTGAACTATCTGTAGCCTACTGTGCCTAATGCTAAAAACAGCATCTAGTTTCAACATTGTGATTCTTCACAGTTGTTCGGTGTGAACTGTTGTCTTATATTACCTTTAGACAATTCAAAAGTGTGTATTCCCAGAAATGCCATTTTATTCAGGTCAATTACCGGTTTGACACATTACATTAGAGGCCTTCATGGCTTTAAGTTACAAGGTGCTGAATGACTCTGTCAGGTGCGCTCACACAACACGATTCACTCTGTGGTAAATTAGTGATTTAGGCAGATTTTATTTATCGCACATAGTTAATAGCTAGTTAATTTGATGAATGCATTGAGTGTGCATAGGAACCACTCAATGGCCATTAGTGTGTCTACTTAAGTATTAATCAGTTGGGTGGGATTACATACAAATTTGTTTCCAAGATTTTATACAGTTGAACTGTGCATACATTTATTGAATGTGGATGTATGTACAGGGGGCAATACTTTCAACGAAGTGCATGAAACATTCATTCTTGGCCTGCTTAGTCTTCCTTGGTAGTGTACTATCTTCACAATTTGGGATATTTAAAGAGTATGAATTTCAAACAAAGCTACACAAATATTTGGGAGCAGTTTTTGTTGTACTGTTTCTGTAAAATGCCCTAATCTGACTAAATACTCAAGCCAATCTAACCAGGTAATGTAAAGCACATGAAATGTATGATAATAAATAATAATATGATCTTACATTGTAGAAATTTATAGTGCAGAAGCAAATATTCAGCCTATTGAGTCTGCAGCTGTCAGAGCAAATGTTCATTTAATCCCACTGCCCCGCATTATCCTCATACCCCTTCAAGCGTCCATACAGTGATATCAGATGTCATATCAGACGGGACCATAACATGCAATACAATATGAGTTATCCAAAGTACAAGTTGCAGGCAAAGTTGTATAATGTAAACTGTGTCGCCACGTGCGCACTTGGCTGCAAGCGCTGGCATCACATTGAATCGTGGGAAATGAAGTTCTGCGCCTGTGTTGATGGATCGAGACTATGTTTGCCACGATTCAATGCAGCCAGCTAGTAAGTGCACATGTGTCGACGGGTCAGGACATCATTTCCCATGATTTAATGCAGCCGATAAGTGCAGGAGTAATGTAGGGTAGGGGAGCTGCGATATGAATTAGAATAAATATGTCTAGGTAATTATACGATTTATAAAGATACGAATTATGTGAGTTTTACTGTATATACTTTCATATATGAGTTCAACTAAATAATAATAATCCTTGCATTTGATATAGTGCTTTTCACGTCTTCTAGATGTCTCAGACTGCTTCACAGAATATACAGTACAGTGAACTGATTGTATATTTGTGGGTGAAACATGGCAGCCAATTCCTCACAACAGTGTCCCACAAACAGTCGTGGATTGAGTGACCAAATTTTTTTTTTTTAAGGATTACTATCCCCGGAAAAGTGATCCGTCAATCAACTAACAACTGGGTTCCTCCTTAATGCTCGGTAAACAAAAACGTGTGGATTAAGAAAGCTTGCCCAACATTTTACCCTGCAGGAATCAAACCCAGGTCTCTGTTCTTGCGAGGCGAGTGCTCTAACCACTGAGCTACAAGATGCCATCAAATCACCAAATCAGCTCAATGGGATCTCACTTTACCATCACAGATGAACAGATATGAGAAAGCCGCCTATGAACATCACACCGTTTTTAGAAATTGATTTGCTTCTTGAAAGCGAATAAAATATAAAGTACCACATCTGTTCACACATTGCCATAGTGCATTGGTTTAACCAATATGATGTGCCACAGTCTTATAAGAGCAGGTCACGCTATCGCAGTCTAAGGATAGTGCATGGATTGTGAGAGAAACACATATCTGGATGTGTTGAATGGAGGGAGGATCCATCCTGATTAATGTATGTGACTTATTGGACCCTACCTTGTTTCTTACTTTTGAGATTGGTTCATTTGCAGTAGCAGCTTAAACACAGCATAACTCCAAATGTGATGTGCTTCTTAAAAGCCAGGATTAATATTTTCAGAACAGTGCGTACCTGGAATAAAGACCTGCTTGAATATTAAATTGAATAGTAAATTGAGCGCCACATTTATATATCAGGACAAATTAAATGGCATTTGTTATGCTAAGACCGCAGCTCCAGATGTTCAGAATGTTAAGCATCTTTCTAAGCCTTAACGTTACAGTTAAACAAAACAGTGCTGGTGTTGGTACTTCTTCTTACCACAACATCTAATTGTGTGGGTGTATCATGAACACCACTGCAACAACAACTTACGTTTATAAATCAATGAGCCTTACGGAATATCATGCACTTTCTGTGAGGTTTTGTTTGACAGGCCTATCCCTGTGTGTTCATCGAATTTTAACATAACATAAGGAGCATGAGTAGGCCATTCGGCCCTTCAAGCCTGCCCTGCCATTCAATCATGGCTGATCTTCTAAGATAACTCCAGCTAATAACCTGACCCTGCCTTATCCCCATATCCCTTAATCCCTTTTGCAATAAGAAATCTATCTATCTCAGTCTTGAATATGTTCAAGGACTGAGGGTCAACAGCCCTTTGGGGTAGTGAGTTCCATACTTTCACCACCCTTTGGGTGAAGAAGTTCTTCCTCAACTCAGTGCGAAGGGGCTGGCCTCTGATTTTAAGGTTGTGACCCCTGGTTTTAGTTTCTCCAACCAGGGGAAACAATCTCCCACTATCTACTCTATCATGCCCTTTGATGATCTTATAGGTTTCTATAAGATCCCCTCTAATTCTTCTATATTCTAGAGAATATAGGCCCAAATTGGTCAGCCTACCCTCGTAACTCATCGCCTTCATCCCTGGTACTAACCTAGTAAATCTACGTTGCACCCCCTCCAAGGCAAGTACATCCTTCCTGAAATAAGGAGACCAAAACTGCACACAGTATTCCAGGTGTGATCTCTCCAGGGCCCTCTACAGTTGCAGCAAGACTTCTCTACTCTTATACTCTAATTCTTTCATAATGAACGCTACCCTACCGTTCGCTTCCTATTTGTTTGCTGCACCTGCAGACTAACTTTCTGTGATTGGTGTACAAGGACACCCAAGTCCCTCTGGACGCTAACACATTCCAATCTCTCCCCTTCTATAAAATAACCCGCTCTACTGTTTTTGCTACCAAGGTGGATGACTTCGCACTTCCCTATATTATACTTCATCTGCCACCTACCTGCCCAATCACCTAACCTATCTGTCTCGCTGCATTTTTTTAATGTCGTCCTCTGTGTTGACACTTCCTCCTAGTTTTGTGTCATCCGCGAATTTAGATACATTAACTTCAATGTCCTCATCTAGATCGTTGATGTAGATGGTAAATAGCTGAGACTATTTCCAGGGGGCTAATAGTGGGCAAAAAGTGACTGTACAGTAATACCACACTGTACCAAGTTCTCTTGATTTGCCTTTGAAATTGGTAAACAGATTTCTGCACACTTACGGATTGCAAACTATGATGGAATTTAAGAATCTTTCAAAATATTTGCTGCTACACATCCAAGTCTTGCAAAGGCCAATGTCTAGCTTGGGTTCTTTATTATTTGCATTACTTTAGCACTTTGTCAAAACTATTCCCTGAATCTCCAGTTAACTATTCAAATTCTTAACTACATTTTGTTATTGTAAGTAATAAATGGGTACAAAGTCTTATGTCTTTAGAATTGATATGGATGGAACTAAGCCAAATGCCGTTGATTTTGTTTAACCTGCTGCCACATTCCTGTTCAGCTGAAGGTGCTTAAACTTACTGATAATATCACTGGAGGTTGTGACACTTTCTTTATTAAATCACTGATCGGTGGCAGACTGTTCGACCAAACGATGACCACACAGTTAGAGCTCTGCTTAAACAGTTGACAGAATTGCAGTAGAATTGTTTAAATTTCTCAAGGTGGCTGCAGTGAGATTGCAAAGAGGTATTCCAAAGAATTGTGTAAGTTTGGGTCTCCATTCCCTCAAAATATCTCATAAAGTAATAAACAATGATTTACATTTACAATTAACATTATGGGCATCAATGCAGGTGATCAATAAGTACAATAAGTGAGATAATGGCAACTATTATGGTCAGTTTAGTTCAGTTGGTAGCACTCTTGCCTCCGAAGGTGGAGTTCTTCCTCCTCCTAAACAAACGTTTTCCAAATTAGCTTTCATAAAGACAATGTCCCTCTAAATATCTTGACCACCGCACATGATAATTTCTTTCCTCAGACTATTTTATTTCCATGGATCATTGAATGTGCTGATATCAGAGTTACTGCACCTTCAGAGGCAAGAGTGCTACCAACTGAGCTAAGCTGATCTCACTTATTGTACCATGTACATATTGAACATCTGTATAATAGTCATTCATGCTCATAATGTTAATGTGTTGATCGAAATTATGAAGTTGAGCAACATCAACTAGAGCAACATTTATATAGGTTATTCATGTAGGTTAACGTCTCATAGCAACGATTTTGAATATCAAGCATTAGAGAAACACAGAGGGGGAGGGGGAGGCCTTAGATACGTAAAAAGACGTAGGATTTGAGGAAGGATTTAAAGACAGATAGAATGGAAGAGGGAGGGAGTTCCAGGGTGTAGAAACTGTAAGGTCGGCCACTGATATTTTTTTTTAGCTTGTCAAGCCTGTTCCATTCAGCCTTCCAAAAAAATGCACCAATTGAAAACTCATTGTCGAGTTATTTGAAGCAAGTCCCCGGTAATGTTTTAGTACTTTCCCTTCAATATGAATTTTCATTATCTGTTCTCCGTCTGTTTGGTTTAGTCTTGATATCCCTTAACAAAAGACCTTTAAGTACAAAAGGAATTATACGTTGACATTCTCAATGTGACAATTAACACTTATCATTTTTATCATTAAATTATCATTTGGCAGATGATTTT